CTGTCAGGGAGAACATATTCCATCCCATCTTCAAAACATGAGAACATTCATAGCAAGTCAGTGGCAGCTCGGCTAGCAGCCCCCTGTTTTAACATCCATGGCAGAACAGCCTGTGAGAGGCACCACTGTTTACTACAAAGCACAAACTATTTCATGTGTTTAGTGGTTTTAAATATCAAGTGCTGTTAGTTTTCAGGAGAAATGAGACCTTTGCAGATAATTGGGCTTCTGTTAAAAATGTTAAAGTGCTGAAAAATGTGAAATCGGGAAGGAATAGCTAAGCTAGTGTTTATGTCAGCTCAGCCAGCAGCCCCCTCAAAGAGCATCAGAGATCCTTTTTTCAAGTGATGTGATAATGGTTTCAATTGCAGGGACTTTCTTTAAAATAAGAAAACCTCTTCAAATAATTCAAGTCTGATTTAAAATCTTCTAAATTATGAAGATCGTAAGAATCCTGACTTAAATAAAAACAAGCTGAGCAGGGGCTCAGTTTGCGTGACCCATGTACAGAGCCTACAGTCCTCTTAGTGGGCAGCCTGGGATCGAACTCAACATGTGGCTCTTTTGCAGCATATCATTCCATTCTCTCTCTCTGATTTCTAAACCCAAAAATAAATCTTAAATAATAATAATCTCAGCTAATGTGAGTGACAGCTCAGCTGGCAGCCCCCTCAGAACATCCTGTTTCCACCAAAGAGTTTTAGCGGGGACACAGATTTATTACCTGTGACTGCTTGATTTAAGTGTATTGTTATTTTTTACTACTGGGCATGTCTCTGAAGATAATTATGTTGCTGCCAAAAATACTTCATGAACATGAACACTGAAAGAATTCTATCCAAAAGAAAAAACAAGCTGAGCTGATTTCAGAGTTGCAGCTCGGCTCACAGCCCATCTTGACACGCTGCATCTGTTGAAGAGATTCAAGAGAGGCACTGATTTATAACATCATACCGCTTTATTCACATTTATTTCACTGATTTGGTTGATTTTACTTCAAAACTAGAACAAGGCATCAAAATATGTGATAGCCAACTCTTGCACATGTAAACAAACTTCTGAAGTTTTTCTAATGATCCATGTAGTTTATGTCCCAATCGAGATGCTCGTCAAACTGGCAACATTATCAAATCATATATGAAAAATGTGAATCTGTTTTTTGCAGGGTCACCCAGCCCTACAGCAGAATGAAGAAACACTTCTACACGCTGCATTCCTCTTTACTCCCTTCTGACACTTTGATGTCCTGTTGGTAGCGTGGAGGAGCTTGGCTCTGTGTCTGGTACTACCAAGGAGCAGAACAGAGCAACAATACGCCTGGGCATTTAGCCTACACTCTCCCACTCCACCCTCCCCTCTCCTCAGCTCAGAGTTCTCCATTATTCAACTGTGGCTGGAGGGGATAGCATCGTAGTCAGGAGAGCATCGGTGGCCGAGCCCGGTCTCAAACAATGACATCATCTCTGCAGGACTGGCATGCTCTACACTTTGCATGTGTAAGTTGGCATGTGCTGTTAGCATATTTCTGGCTACAGGGAGGACACACAATTTATCCTCTGTGCTCAAATTGTGACAGCAGACCTCCTCTTTGGGGTTCTTTGTTATTTGTGTAGATTATTATTATTGTGTACAAACAAGGCAATCAATGGGAAACGATGGAGATCAACATAATTTCTTTAAGAATGACAAGTAGGCTTAAAGTTGCTCCACAACACGACAGCCCCGCTTGAAATGTCTCAACAGCAGCTGCACAAACTCAACCAGACAAATACCAAGGAACATGTTTTCATACTGGAGCTAAGTGCAGCGTTCAAGACACACACACACACACACACACACACACACACACACACACACACACACACACACACACACACACACACACACACACACACACACACACACACACACACACACACACACACACACACACACACACACACACACACACACACACACACACACACACACACACACACACACACACACACACGGTGCTAAGAGTGAGAGTCAGTGATGAATTTTAAGGAGGCTTTTGAATCAAGACTCTGCACGCAAGAGTTAAGAGTAAAGATGCATAGTGCGGGTTCTGAACACACTGCAAAAGCTAAAAATTTACAAAGTGTATTTGTCTCATTTTCAGTCAAAATCTCATCACACTTAATATAAACAACAGTCCAGATATATAGAGAACAAAACATAAGGCCTTAATTGCTAGTAATAAGTGAGAGTTGCTGCCATTACAGCAATCAAAATGAACATGGTAAGTTTCTTAAAATTTTGTTTGCAGCAACTTATAGTCAATCTCCCTGCACGTAATAAAACAGCTTCATGTTGTTATCTGTTTGCCAGTTTGTTCTTTGCCGATCTTTTGTCGATATTGTGAACATGTTGACCTTCACGTAGCATTGATACAAAAGCAGATAGTGTCATTACTGAATCGGTCTCTGTTTCCTTGTGTCCACCACTTCTGTAGATATGTCACTTCTTGCTTCCTGAGAACTGCTGCTTGGTAATTTAATGCCCTAAAAGGTAGGTACACATGGGCCGACTGTTTGGGAGGTGGAGGCTCGTCATGGCTGTCAGAGAGTCAGTGGTTATGGTCGACTGTTGTGTGAACAGCAGCGTTGGTACTGCTTGGGGCTTGTCAGAAGCTTTTTTGCCAAATTCAACAAGTAGAATCAGCCGCGGCCAGTCTGGGAGAAAAAATCACTCTTGATTGGCTGTCAGCCAGCGCCTCATGTAACGAGAAGAGAAACAGAAGCGACAAAGGAAAACAAACGACAAGTTTCGTCATGTAACACTATACCGTCTTTGTAACTTTGCACAATTTCTCAAGTCGAGGTAATTAAACGCGTTCTGCAGAAAAATGATAAACAAATGTAAAAAACCGCTGCCATTTGTCTCCTCAGTCCGGGGTCTTTCGGTTTCCCTTTTACATATATCAGACTTCCACGTCTGCTGGTATGGACTGTTTGTTCAATTCAATTCAATTCAATTTTATTTTGTATAGCGTCAACTCATAACAAGTGTTATCTCAAGACACTTTACAAAAAGCAGGTAAAATACCTTACTGACTTTTCTGTTCTTTTCTGTTAACATTACAAAAGAGCAGGTAAAAAGACCTTACTCATTGTTATGTTACAAAAGAGCAGGTAAAAAGACCTTACTCAATGTTATGTTACAAAAGAGCAGGTAAAAGACCTTACTCATTGCTATGTTACAAAGACCCGGCCTATCCATCATGAGCACTTTAGCAAAGCAGCAAAAGTTACAGTGGTAAGAAAAAACTGCCTTACTAAAAGGCAGAAATCTTCGGCCGGATCCCCGGCTCATGACGAAACAGCCTTCACAGGCTGGTTGGAAAGGGATAGGGGGAGAGATGGGATAAGATGCAGGAAGAGGGATAGGGAGCAAGGGGGTGGGGGGAGGCAAAAGTTGGTTGCACTTCAGCATTAGCTGCCTCTTGGTTGTTCCACAACTACTGAAACATTTGTAGAGGAACCTTGACCTTTGAGGAACAGTTCCCTTTACAGTTCTAGATAATTTGTGTATGGCATAATCACCACACAAGTTCCCAGAACAGTTCAGGAAGTTTGACAATGACTGCTGCCGCCCCCGTCTCTCACTTTCTATCTCAGCTCGGAGGTGAAAGGTTATCCTTTGTGTTTTTCTTGCCATTTTTACACATGCACTCCTGCAGAAATTAGTTAATTTATGTATCATGCTTAAAATGCTTGATAATTAGTGTATTCTTCTAAAAATATTTGAGGCCAATTGACACGTTGGTCGGCTTGAATTACCATATATGGTCATCACACAGGTAAATTGTTATCGGGAGTAAATGTTTTTCGATATGCACCGATGCAAATATGCCTGGGGTAATTTAGAAATGGCGTCCTTCGAATAGCAGAGTGCACCCTGACTTAGTTCACGATCATCTGTCTGCAGCACAGAGCATCACAGCTAAACAGACAGTGGACTGCTGCAGAATTAGTTGACACTTCACTGTAATACAATGTACAGCCTTCTGAGTTATTTGGATTGTTCTAATGGCGCACATTTAAAAATGATTTTGCATCTCAGCAGAAAATTAATTACACAAGCTGCTGCATTGTAATTTTGTGATATTTCTTCAGTACTGTAAGTGTCAAGATATATGACATCTTTGCTCCAAAAAAATGCACCAAAGACAACTACAATTTTGATTTGACAAAAGCCACTGTCCTGACCCTTCTTCAACCAAGTGTGTTCTCTCTCATGAGGGCAAGCAGACCCACTAAATCCCCTTAATGCTGACTGGAGTTTGGTTGAGCAGCTCACCGGAGCTACTTTGCATGTATGGGATCTGTGAAACTGGTATCCTGACATCAACTTTTCATTCTTTTTCAACTCTGTCAGTCACAGAGGTTAAAAGGAAACAACAGCTGGAGCCATATGTTTCACACCTAGCATCACCTTTCTCTCCCCGAGTGCCCCTCTATGGAGAACATCCATTTGGAAAACGCATCATTAGGGTCCCTTGTGTATATAAGTACACAACACACCTGGTAAAACAAAACCGAAAACATCGGCAGAATCTCCACAGCTTTCTGGTAACTTCGGCCGGAATTAACACGACGTAGCAGCCACATAACTCTCACTTTTTTGTCATTTATGTCTGACTTTCAGAAGATGCCAAGGCAGGTTGCCATTTATCGACCTATAGGTAAACAAGGGTTTGAGCTGATAACTGAAACACATAAAAGCAAGCTGTAACGACTGACCCCCTGTATATTCTGTGCACTGGGTGTGTTGCTTTGAGGTGAAACAGGTCACTCATTTTCGATGTTTTCCCCTCCAAAAACACAATCTTCAGTAAAAGATGCAAGCAATGATGTGACTAAAAACACAGATGCTTGCGTAATTTAAGACATCCTAAGCAGCTGAGGGCAAACTGAGGTGATGCACAGTGTTCATATTTTAGAGGGCAGTAATCACTAAGATGTAGGCTACATTACCTGCCCGTACACCTTTGGCATGGGCGAATCTCCTGCGCTCCGGCGGCTTCGCTGCAGCGGGAAGGCGCCGGAGTCCGACCCGCCTTCAGCGACGCTACGAGCGGCCAGAGGTAGCTCCGGAGCCTCGGCGCCTCCTCCATCTCCCCACGGTAAATCCTCATTTGCTTCTATTGTGAAAAACCCTCTGTTCTGCAGCAGCATGTAACGCTGCTCCGGGTGAAGACGAAGGGTCGACGCATTAAATCCAGCAACCCAGAAGACTAATAAATATAACGAAGAGCGAAGAGAGGGCTGCATCTTGACTGCTTGTAATATCGCCATGTTTGTGTATGTTTCGCTTCTGGATTAGGTAAGACTGAAGGGCTCCTTCTACTGGCAGTGGAGCTGGTTCATGCTGCGTTTCCGGACCATGGGAATGTCGGGAAAGACGAGACTTCTCTTTTCATATGCTTTGCGGTAAACAAAGGCAGTTAACAAGCCACCACTGCGCCACACAACACGTCTTTTATAAAGTGAACAAAGGACACAGTGTCAACCGCAAAAAAATAAATAACAATGGTATTAAAAGCTTTTGATTTCATTTGATTTATTCTTGAAAGGACAGCATACCAACACGTAAAAAAAACAATTAGCCTACAACAACAATAATAACAATAAGAGGAATATAGTAATAATAATAATAATAATAAGTATTATTATTATTATTACTATATGGACGACCTAAGCAGACATTCATCCATGCATTATACAGTATTTACTCTGTTTTACCTGTGATAACTTACATTTTGGTTGTTCTCTCAATAGCTATACCCTTTATCTAGCTTTCTCTGATGAGGCTACAGTGCTGTTATTTTAAGATAACGAGTTCATGTCTTGAGTTCTCAAAAAAATGACTGAAATATAGCGACTGGTTATCATGGAAAACCAGCATTGTTATACAGAGAATACTAGATAAATAAGTTGAGATATGGACAAGTTAATTTTCCGGCACAAGTTCTTAAATTGCACTATACATAGGCTGTAAATTGTGTTTATGCTAACTATATGGCATAGATTTGAATTATTTCACTTGAAAAATCCACTTTTACAGTGTTTTTGAACAAATATTTGGGTAACCTGAGTGTCTACTGACCCACAACATGTGAAATAATCCATAAAAGTCCTTTGTTTGTGGTCTGAAATGACCAAGAACTTTAAGTGTTCTGTGGTGTCTTTCATCACTAGAAGTACACTGATGTACACAAGTCTGCTTTGTTAGCTTTGCAGCAACCATCTTACCGCTCACAAGCAAAACAACTTCAACCTCCTTCTTCTCTGACTTTAACTTCCATCTGTCTGAGTTTTTAAGAAAGTTTTATTGACAATTCATAAAGAAATATTGAATTTCAAGACAAAGTGTTACTCCTTATCCTGACGGAAAAAAGTTTAAATAAATATAAGTACATGGAAATAAGTCCGAGCTATATGCATGCAGGAGTCTTGGGTTATATGGTTGACGAGCTCTATTTGATTAGTTGTAAATCATTGACTCAGATGTGTTTTAAGGGCCTGTTAAATATTTAAAGGTCATAAAGAGCAACAGTATTCTGCCAACAAGGCCTATCAGTGCATGATGACTTTGAGAAAATGTAAAAGCATACTGTTCATTCTTATTAATCAAGATTTGGAACATTCAAAAATGTGATTAAATAAATAAATAGGTTTATATTTCTCAGTCTAACTCAAAGCAGCTCTAACAGTTTCAGTCCTGCGGTTTCTCTACTGCAAGGAAGATTCAGTCTACTTTATTTCTATCGATTGTTCTCTTCAGGGGTTGCATTCACAAACTTCCTCAAAGAATCACATTATTTCCTGCGAAACCTTTGAATTAGTGAGATATTGATTGAGCCTCCCCTATCTCCAAAGCAAAACAAAGTTTTCTCCATGTTGCACCAACACCACTGCCTCAATGTGAGCCCTGAAGATTTCATTACGGATTATAAAGTTTATTATATTTTTTATCATCTTTTCATTTATTAAAAGGATTGCTCCTAAATAATGCAGTTTAGAAACAGAGGTGAGCTTGTCAGACTCAAGGCAAGGCTATATTTGTTATGTATTTCATCATGCCAACACTTTTTATGTCAAGATACTTTTGACCCTTTGACACATTGCATTTCGATACAAAGTGAGAAGCATACATTGATGGAAGATTGAGAGATAGACGAGGAGTCTGGAGCTCTGTGTGTCAAGTCCTTTGACAGTCGAAGCCTAAAGCAGCACATGTAGAGACTTTTCCAAGCCTGAGCCAGCCTTAACTTCATCCAAAATGAAGTGTCTGACCCTGACAAGAATAGGAGGGGAGCCTGATAAATGAAGGCTCTGCGTCCCATACTATTTTAGAAGACACCCAGCAGGCAGCTGCACTCAGGGGTTCTAATGTTCTCGAGGGATAATAGGGCCCTATGAGCTGCATAGAGCATTGACAATTGTCAATAAAACGCCTTAAAAACTCAGACAGATGGAAGTTAAAGTCAGAGAAGAAGGAGGTTTAGGTGGTTTGCTTACGAGTGGTAAGATGGTTGATGCAATGCTAACAAAGCAGAAATGTGTCACTTTAGTGATCTGCCATGGTGTAAGATGCTGTCTGCAATTTTGTGCACAATCAGGGAAAAAAACCCTAAATTGGAGAAGCGGCTCATGGTTATGCTTTCAGATTATGCTGTTGGTCAACCAAAATTTCTGACAAGACAGAAATTAATTCAACCGGTCAGGAGCATTTGATCAGGTCATAATCAGGGGGTCGATTGACAAACCGCTACACTGCCCGTCAATCAGTCAGTTACACGTCTTATTGTCAATAACGCTTATCGTTCATAAAATAAAAATAAAAAGAACTGATGTAGGCCTATTGTAAAAAATAAAAAAAACATCACCCCCATTCAGTGTGTGCCCATGAGAACAATAACTAATCAGACCAACATCGTTTTTTGAACCCAGCTGTTAACATGCTAATTTCTGGCTTACTCCATTAAATGGAGTGTGTATGTGACTTCCGGTTCTTCTGAGGCCAACCTCATGCGGACACTGGACGAACTGCATTATTTAGCACTTCCGCATTGGCTTCCTTTTTTTTAAACAACGAATGTTACCACTTGGAATTTACGAGCACCCTTGAATGCAGCATGTGCACGGCGCGTAAATTTTTGTTTTTCTGCCCGAAATCATCAGAGATCAAATTAAAGGTAATGTCCTCAAACAACCACCAATAATCCGTAACGTTTTCATTTATTCAGTGAATAGTTCACTCACACCGGTGTCTTTAAAAGTAGATATTAGCTTCCCTTACTTTAACAATGCTAGCTAACTACCGTTAGTTAATCTATAGGCAGGTAGTTTAACTCTCTGCTAACTTTACATTAATGTTTTAGCTGTTTGTAAGCTAGTTGTCAAATAATTACTACAACATAACTATTCGCTCTGAATTCACTTAATGCATTTATTTAGTACGGTTTGATAACATTTCTTTCAGTTTCTTTACATGAGGTTTTTAACTATGAGGAACAAAAAATGACTGAAGTGTAAATAAATGAATAAATAAATAAATGTTGGGAGAAATGCATACAATAATGTATAAATAAATAAATAATTCAATAAATATATTCATAAATATATTCATATATTTATTTATCTATTTCTGTGTCCATGTTGTTCAAGGAAAAGTAAATATGTAAATTAAGCGAGCCGTCCTAACATTACTGAAGAAGGATTGGTCAATTTTGAAAAACAGACAGAAGTAAATTTACTCATATACTTTTCCTCTTACGACCTGGACACAGAAATAAATAGATGTGTAAATGTAAAAATACAGAAATATATTAATAACTCAATTAATGTGGAAATGTATGCATTGATACATATATAACTGTAGAAATACGCTAATAAAGAATAAATACATGTACAAATATATAAATAGCCTTTTTCATTAACAAAGTGTATTTATTATTTATTCATTGATGTATCGTTTTCAGCATTTATATATTTATTTATTTATTTATACATTATTGTATGCATTTCTCCCAACATTTTTTTTTTGTCCCTCATATTTAACACCAAGGAGCAACAATTGAAAGAGTCAAATAGTCAAAAGTCAAAAAAGTTATATAATTCAAGATGGTTTTCATCTTTAACCTAACTGTAAAGATGGTAATAATGTGTTTTATGTTATCATAAATGTTAGTGCTGACACAGTTAATTGATCATGTTAAAATGCCACAAAGATATTTGATAGATTCTCATCAGAGCCTAATCTGACACCTTCAAATGGCTTTTTTATACCTCAGTCCAAATATCAAAGACTCAGATTGCTGTCATAAATTATGAAAATAAGCCGTAAATCCTGCATTTAAAACACTGAAACTAGCAAATGTTTGAAATTTAGAATGAAAAAATCCCTGCAGAAATTCTTCCTAGGCAATTGTCATCAAGCAATTCATTGTTGTGGAGATTTGTTATTGCAGCACTAACATGAATTATCATTTAACTTGAACACCATTGGATAAATTATTATGCAAATTTTAACTTTTTGTAAGTTGTTATTTCAGCTAACAAGAGGCTTTTGCCCACATATAGTAACTATGGCTAAACTATGTGAATAAAATCAGCTTTATAGACCTTGGCATACACTTTACTGTCACTGACTGACAGTAATGAGATACAAACAGGCCTTTAGGTTACAAAGCTGTACAATAACATTTATAATTTCCAGTGACCTGATAATGGGAGAATCAACACCAATGACAGGAAAGATGCTTCCTCCAGTACTTCCCCAGAGGGCCATGAAAAACAGCAAAGGCCCTAAACAGCCAACACCACATGAGGTAAGAGAAGCAGCTGGTAGCCACTCATTGCTTCATAAAAAGGCTATGTAATCCTCCAAAATTTTCCATGAAGTAGTAATATTGTCCTCTTGATTCAACGACCACAAAGAAAAGACACTTTTAACTGAAACTGAAAAGTAAATTGGATCAAAGGTCGAACGATAAGGGGCCCTAGTATAACGTGTGACCAATGTACTTATGTAAAATGCTGAGACATGCCCTCAGGACGGCAACTGCAGCACCACTTTTTAACAGCTTTTCTACATCATTAGGTCATAATCATGCATTCAAGGACAATGGTCGTTAACTCTTAGTGCACAAGTTTGATTGAAGAGACACCCCATAATTTAAAACAAAAAAGGACAATGGAGGTGGGCAATGCAACTCTTGGCAAATTAGTGGCAGGCTGTGGGTCTGTACTTCACAACTATCAACTAACTGTAGGCTGAGAGATTACCTACTGTACCGTACCAGTAGGTAACAGGACTGCTACTCTACATGGGGAAAACAGAGAGTACAAGAAAAAGCTGCACAGAAACTGCACGTTGTGAAATGTGTTGAACGCAGTGGAAACTGTCACACAGGAAGACAGTTTAAAGCAGCTCTGGAAGACCCCAAAAACGTTCTCTGTCTTGTATACAGGTGCACTTATATTCAGGAGTTTATGGTAAGTAAAAATACAACTAAAAGTTTAGACATGATGAAAGTAGCCTTTGTCCTGGAAGGGTTCAGGTGTTTTTATTTACTTATTTTAAATGTCCAAAACTAAACTAAAACTTTGCCCATCACTTTAGACCGCTGCAAATCAAGACACATCTCCACCGATGAAGAGAAAAGCTCCATCCAAACCATCAACATCAGAATCAGCAGATATATTTGAGGTTACAGCTGCAGGTATGTTACATGGTCACACTATCAGTTAAAAAACATTCTGTAGTATTCTCAAAGTTGTATTAACAAAATGAAATTCAGCCTACACTTAGATACTGACATATTATTCACTGCGAGTATTAAGAAAGATAGGTAACTTTCATGTTCCTATTCTTTTCTATTTTGGAAATGACTTTGGACTGGTTTTCATGGAGCAAATAAAGAATGTGTTTAAGTAAGTAAGTAAGATGATTGCTAGTTGCTAGGGTTTGAGCTGTGTTGCAAGTCACTGGGTTGTCCAATAGCCCTAAACGCACCATTCCTGAGGTGCGCTCAGAGCGAGTGTCTGTGTCTCCTTTAAATGATGTAACAAGACTCAGGTGAATGGCTGCAGCTGAGAGGGAACCCGTATGGACACCGACTTTCAGAAGCTAGTAGAATCGACAGCTGACCCACACCAATAAACTGTAACGTAACTAGCAATCATCTTCTTTTCAAGATCCAACCAGACAAAAACTGAACTCATAGACTAAGCCTGGACTTGTCGCTCCCCTGCAACACTGTCCACGGTGAACAAGGCCAGCGGCCTGGCACACTGGCGTGCAGGTGTTTCCAGTCATGAGAACCAGTCCTTTCTTTTCAATGTCAGTCTCTTCCCTTATTTCCGCAGGTATAAAATATAAATTTGTTTTGCCTTTGAGATAAATTTACAGCATCTCTCTTTGCTCCCTGAAACAGGTGCTAGTAGAGAGTTCAGGATGCTGTCCTCAAAGTTTGCCCAAGTGTTATGGTAAGTTGTGTTTGTGCAACTACATTTCAGAGCTTTGATCTGTCACCGATTGATCTACACTTATGTCATTATCAACGGTTTGTTGCAGTGAGAGAGCTGCAGCGGACTCCGCCCAGATGGAGGAGCTGGATGGACTTTTGAGAGAGGCTCAAAACTTTCAAGCTTACCTTATAGGGAAGAAAAACCTTCTGAAGCAAACACTGGCCTCCATCTCTGATAAACTGCAGGGCTAGGTGTGCTTTGTTGGGATGAAACAGTTCTGGTCATTCTACTCTTTTTGTTTACATGTTGTGCCTCTCTAGTTCGTTTTGGTATTGCTTTTTATGTAGCTATGAAATGATATATAAATACCTAATGTTTGTTTTAAGTTTACGCAATTATTTGATGAGGCCAATATTCATGCTTTCATAGTTTTAAATACATCACCACAATCTCACGTTTCATTCTTCATACAGGGCTTACATTTACATATATACATTTAATATAGTTTATGTATATAATAAAACATATAAAGAGAAAGTTATGTGTTCACAGATGTATTCATAACTGTTAATAAGAACATTAAAGTGTGTTAATTGCAAAATACTTTTATACCCTTTCATTATTGTGAAGTTATAAAAGAGGGATTCGGTGGATTATCCACTTCAACACAAACACAAAAGGAACTTGGATGAAATAACTAATAATTCTAATAATAGTAAATAATTAACTAATAATTCATTTTAAAGGATTTGACTGAGATTAAAAAATGCATTTGGACTGTCTTGCTTTTCTATGTTAATTTTCATACATATGACCACTTGCCTTTACTTCTCTACTATGATTTCAGATCTGTTTTAAAAATGTTGTTTAAATTGTGTTTGGTCAGCAGAGGATGCTGGTGGGCCAGAGAATGAAAGAAGACTCCTCTGTCTAACTTCTATCCAAAGTCTTTCTATTCCAGCATTACAATCTCAAGCAATTATTGTGTATAACTATTATTACAAGGAGGACATAATCAATTATTTAAGAACACTTTATTTATTTACAGAGTATCGATCTACAGTTTTGGTACAGAGATTCACAAGCTGTTTTATAAATCATTCATGAAATCGATGACGTTTTCTCCACCGCCACAATGCATTTACTTATCACTCTATCTGACACAACAGGTGCTGTAAAAAGAGTTGGAGTTCTCTTAATTTGTAATGAATCTGACATGTTTTGCTGTAAACTTGTTTTATCACATTACCAGTATGTACATAACTAAACAGCAGACGTTGAAGATGATCTTACTTTGCCTTAAATGACCACTATTTTAAACACTTTATGAAAATGGAAATGGTGAAAAGTAAAGTGGAAAAAACATATTTACAATACATTCATATATGGAGTGACCTCTTAGTTTCCAGTTAAACAAACAGCACAGTTAATATTTACATACAGGGTTTAATTTTCAGTGAGCCCGGAGGTACAGTGAGTTTTTGTGAGCTTCCTCGCATGTCTAAGCCGTGTTATTGAATGTCCCGTGGAAACCGTAGGGGATGTTCACAGGCACCGCAGCCCTGCCCAGCTCCTCAAACGTTTGGGCATCTAAAACCAGGAGGAACGTGCTCTTGTCCTGTAAGTAATCAAGATGAAGGAGGAAAAAAAAAAGAATGTAAGTACTCAACAGTTTAAGAAATCAGAAGTTTATCCAACTCTGACATGCACTTTGGGAAACTTTTCCTAATGACTTAATAAACATCACCTTTAGGCTATATATGGCATGATGTTTTGTAAATTATGGACCCGTTTGGAGTCAGTAAAGAAAGTTAAACAAGGTCGCCAAAACAAACAGCTTGGTAAAACCCTAAATTGTAAGACTTCAAAACGATACACCACTGACCAGATGGATACATAATAGGGATGTGTGCAATTAGTCGACTAAACAATGAAACATCTTCCCCCTCGCTAGTCTGCACCAATAACTACTAGTTGGTTAAACATTATTGCCCTAGACTCCAGTTAAATGTTAAGCTCAAACTGCATCACAGCCACTAGACAGGGCTGTAGCCATAGACTGGCTGTAGCTCATGTTAATGGGCCTCCTCTTCCTGCTCTACTACCCGGATGTAAACAAGCACAGTAAATCGAAAGCATCCTTTAGTAGCAGTGCAGTTTGACATTATTTTGACCCAGAAAATTGAGATCAAATGTACCAAAGGCTGTGTCAGGTTTAAAGTGGAATATCGACCAGTGCAATGCGTAACCACATTCAGCACAGGAAATGTGATTAGTAGTTGGAATTTTAATTTCCATATAACAGACTAGAAAAATGAGTCGCCGAACATATTCAGTCTCTGGTTTTAGTCCATTGCCTCCTACGAATTTCCTCAGGTGTGTTGATTTTTTTAGAAACATTTTCATCGTATGATTTTATTAAAATCAACAGTGAGCTGTGAAGAAATTTGGGGATCTAGAGCTGCTGGCAAAATCATCAGGCATAACTTTAATCCAGAAATAAAAGGTAAATGACCATAAGTGCAAATGTCCCAACTTTGCCGTGGTGAAAATAACTTCACTGAACCAGATTTACCTTATTAGGAGTGATGACCACAGACAAGACAACACCGTCGTCCTCTTCAGTTGCATTGGGGGAGGGTACGAAGACTGGTTCAGATGGATAAAGACCAGTTCGTTCCCACACCTGTGAGTAAATACAGTAGTCTTAGAGATTAATTTTGTTGCAGTTTGAAAATGTTACGGTATATTGCTGACCAATAAAAGCACCATGAGATAAGATACCAGCTGTGATTACTCACCTCTGAGGATAATTTACTTTTATTGTACTAATTGTTTGACTGTGATGATCAGAGACTGAAACTCACCTTCATTTGTTTCCCGTTGAGGTCCATCTTGATCAGTGTGTCTCCTACAAGATGTCTGAAGCCGCAGCCATAGAAGTAGCGGTAGGGTTTGGTGTTGTACTTGCTATAGTTTATCTGAGGGAACTCCAGACCTCCATACTGATGAAGATCTTCTCCATGGAGGTCTTCATGGGTACAGAAGACCTGAACAGTGACAAAAAATCTGCGTAAGGCAATGGGGCTCAAGGAACACTGGCAAACAAAACTACTGTTTCAAACGGTTAAGAAGAAATTGCATTTTTGTAACAGAATGATCCAGACCAAGTTATCGTAAGACTTTTTAAGGGAAGTGTCTCTAACTGACAACGCTTGGCCCATGGACCAAGCTTGGTCCATTTAGTTTGCGCTAACATAAGGAGTTATCTGAGTAGACCCAAGTGTTGATATGTGTAGACAGTGTTGGCCGCTCACCTTGCTTTTGGCTGTTCTCAAAGCAGTGGCTGTGGTGTTGAACTGGTTGTTCAAGTTCTGGTTGAAGGGGGTATCATTGCCCACATTGAGAGGAAGAACAAAGCGCCGTGGAAAGACTCGACACAGGGTGTTATACACCTGATGGGACAATATAAACATGACTTTAACAGGATCAAGAAAAACACAATACTTTTCAACTTAACAAAAACAAGATAAAGGGTTTACTTAGTCCTCTTACCTCATCAAGAGCTTCTCCAGACTTCCTCAGGTTCTGAATGTTGTAGTTGGAGATTGCCTGGCCATCATCTGAAGCACACATATCTATGATCAAGAAGCCGCCCTCTTCGTACGCATTGATCTGATGGAAGGTTGACAGTGCCTTGGCTAGGTACATGATCGAGCTTACCTGGAAAGCATGATGGGACAAATGTATTTGTTATACAGTACAGAAATAGTAAGAAGAGGGTCAAGGTTTTTTTTACTTCTGTTAGACCCAGTAAGACCCTTTATCTAAATATATGTACATTTAAGTCACTTGCAGAGAGAACTGTAATGTTATCATGAATTAAATGGACTGTCTCTACAAGGTTTAGATATCACCTGCTGACCTTTGAGTGTGTAGTCATTCTTGTGATGTATTTTTCAAGTCTTAAAACGTATTTTAACAAAATGAAATCTTTGTTTGGGGACATCACATTTATATATGACTAAACCTAAAACATGATACAAGAATTATTAATGTCACGCCACTCACTATAGTTCAATGTTTTTTCCAAATGAAAGGTCTTTTGGTTTTCCACCAGTAAGGACACTGACCTGGCCTCTATAAAGGCTACATAGTGAGATGAAAGTTAGTTTCCAAGCCTTACCTTTCCTGTCTTCTTGTCAATCAGGTGGAAGATGGTGTTGAGTTTGGGGTCCCAGTAAAAACCGTCACTGATGCTTTTCGTTCTCAGCTTGCCTGTCACAATCTTCAACAGATCCATCTTGATTGGCTGTTCAATGAACACCACGTAGTTCTCAGACATTGCTGAAATTGACAGGGTTACATTAGTTTCTCTTAAAAATTATTTGAGAAAACAAGTGGTTTTCCAATCCAGATACCATTTCTGATACCGACTGCTTAGACTGTTGGGATCTGCTCTTTTATTCTAAGTTTCATTGTCTCTTGTCAGGCTTCTTATCTCATATGGCATAAATTTAAATGGAGATGGATTGCTGTGACCAGATTATGTAACAGTGTTTACGAAGATGTAATCTCCATAGACATTGATGTAATATGCATTTACATAGTAAAGTTCAACTCCTTCTATTTGATTTATAGCTTTGGCTGATCTGGGGGAAACTTTTGCTCACCAAAGCTGTGGTAGTAGGACGGTTTAGTCTTTTCCAGTGAGGGAATAGAGCACAACACAGTGGCTCCCTCCAGGGTCTCATCATCTGTGTCCTTGGTTGGTGGCACACGGATGATGTTGTAGGATGCTCCTGCAAGCACAGACAACCGTTAACGGCTAACGGTCAGCAGAAATGTTGTTCCGTGCTTCTATGATGGTTCATAAAAAAAAAGTGACTTGGTGTTTCTAAAATACCTTTAGGGTTGTAGGAGTTCCCCATGTTGTAGGTTGTTCCATCAGGCTCGGTGTGAGGGTGTGCCGTCGCTCCATTCACAGCAATAAATTTGCTCCAGTCCACCTGATTAGCGAGCAGAAAGGCTTGTAAACGCTTTTGTTCTATTTTTTGATTTTACACTGCTGCTTAGTGCCAATAAGTGGTGACAGTAGCCTACTTATCTTAACACTAAAACTATAATCATTGTGTTACCTTTTTAGTCGTCTCCAGTGTCTCAGGGTCCACCCTGTGCATGATGTTGGTTTCCGTACTGACATAATAATCACCCTTGTAGGTCACGAAGCTCACATTTGCATTATCTGTGGGTTCTAGAGGGGAGAAACAACATGTGAAAGTTAACAACAACCACAACAAAAACTTGTTTTCTGTAATAAACACCTCTAGCTAGCAATATACAGTCCAGAACTTGGGACTGTGTTCTTAAACGCGCAGTCATTTTATAGAGATAACTCAATGAAAAGTGATGACTGACACTTGTAGAGGAAAGTAAATGTTTGCAGCCCTCGAGTCCAAGACAAATTAAGTGTTTACTATGATATATTGTATCAACATATTGTATTGTATCATATCCTGTTGCATCGTGTGATATTGTTCCTTTCAAGAATACTCGATAAAATACTCACTTGGTAACTCAAATCTTGACAGGAAGCGCTGGAAGAAGTTTTTGCAGGGGTCTGGCACATTGACGGTGCCAAACTCCGACACGGCGATGCGGTGGTGCTCCTTGTTGGCTTGATAACTATCACTGGACAGGAAGCGACTTTTGTAAGTCACTTCACCATTGCATATTTTGAACTGGTGCAGGAGAGCCATACCATCAAACCAGTGATTGAACCTGGTGAGAAAGGGAAGTAAAAAAAAAAGGAAGAAGTTAGAAATATACAGTAGGAGTGATGTGTTATAATATTTACCAACTCCACGATGGAACCATGTTGCAGACATCTTGCATGGGACAAGATGGGAACCTGTTGTAGTTTGAGGCATATGTTGTCACTTACATAATAAAAAATACCAAAACTATTTTTATTCAAATGTGAGTTCTACATTTCTAAAGGCATTTGATCCATTGGGCATTTATACCACAGACATCATTTTCATTATTAAAACTTGGTTGTGTCTTGCATGTAAGAACAGGTCTTTTTTTGTGTGGAATAATTAACAAACAACATTAAGCATTATCCTTTTTGGAAAAATTATACATTCTATTTTATTATTTCCTATAAAATCCAAATGACCTACAGTAATCTATTAATGCAGTTTCAATGCTATACATTGTCAAAAAGGCAATATCTAACTTTATCAAACATACCAACACACACTAAAATACAAGATTTTGATGATAACATTTGGTTCACTATGTTTATTAAAACAGTAAGCAGATCTGATAGGCTCACTGCAACTGTATTTAGTTGATTTGTTAATTATGGCCACAAAATATTAAATGATGCAAAGAAATCGTAGGACCTGATCTGCTGAAGTACAAATCTTCCTTATCCAACTGGATTACTATACATGCAGTCAGCTTTGTTATGTATTGGCTGCAGGATACGTATCAACACTTTGAATACTCACTTCTGGTTTCCAATCTCAAACTTCCCAGGTCCGTTTCTCAGGAAGCTCCCGTTGATCCATTCTGGGATTTTGCCAGTGATTTTGGTGACGATTTGCTCGGGTGTTTCCTCCACTGAGCTCACAATCTTCTCAATGCAGGGCAGACCGTGCACATCTGTGAAGTGGTTGATGTTCTTCTTAGACTTTGATTTTTTAAGTGCTGTGGGAAAAAAGAAAAAACATGAAGTCACAATGTTTTACATATACATCTAGATACATCATTGTGATTTATGAAAACAGCTGGTTAGGAACATTTGTTTTGCAAAGTTTGTAGAATCAAATATTTACCTGAAGCATTGTTCTGCTGCTGGATTTTGATGCTTGCCATGGCTGTGGTTTTTCTTCCTTGAGTATGTTACAGTGTTGAAAGGTCTTGTACACTCCTCCTGTAGTCGTGTGCTTTCTCTTGGTTTTGCACTAAGCTTTATACAGTCCTTCTGACAGTGACCCTCCCCTTGATTTGTCCCCCAGTAAGATAAGTTGGCATGAAGACAGTGATTTCATGCTTGTGTAATCCTCTGCAAAATGGAAGTTTTTCATGATCATAAGATAATACAAGTGGTAACTTATTCACAGAGATAATCACTTGATCTTACTAACAGGTGATGGAAATTTTTACTGTGAGATCATCATTCTTCATACATTTGACTTTATTTCACACAGTATTTATACTTGAGTCTGAATGTTTAATGCATATTAAATGTGTAAATTAATTATGTTTATATTGAATCAGCCTTTTGACTGAAAAGTTCCATTTCTGTCATTTGTATTGCGTTTGCAATTTTCTCCATCAGATATTTATTTAAATTGTCCTCCACATGAGTGTCTGATATCTCCTTAATGTATATCACCAATAAAGAGGATAACAATCACATTTTATGGTCCCCGTCTGGGCACTGAAAGGTGAATCAGTTATCAGACTGTGAGGTATAGTGAATCTTTGTTTCTTCATTCTTCACAAAGGTCACAGACTTTACAGTGGCCGGGAAGTGCAAAGTAAAATGACAAAGTGTGAAACACTTTTACAACATTTGAGACCAATTTACATTTTGAAAAACATTTTTAAAGGACAAAACACATTTACATTTTATGAAACAAATTACAAGATGTGAAACACTTTTACCAGTCCCCAAACAAATTTACAAACGTCAGAATCTTGATGGAAAGGGAATGTACCAAATGTTGGAATTGACCCAGAAGTAATTGATTTAGGGGTCATTTTGATTGTTTTGGAGGAAAGACTTGGCAGACAGTGATATGGAGTTTGTGCTGACAGAAAGATGTTTTGCCCGTTTTGTGGAACTCATTTGAGCCAGATTAGTCAGTTTTGCTTTTCATGTGGACGGTCTCTCAAACTTTTGAAGTATCCAGCATCTCAGAGGTCTGCAAATAACTCCATCCAGAACTGAGACATATAGAAACCAATATAATCTTGTGTTTATACATATATGATTAACAACAACAACAAAAAAAAAAAAAAAATAATAATAATTAATCCGAACAGTCTTTCTGCCACAACAAACAAAATGACCCCTAACTAAATAACTTCCGGGACACTTCCAACATTAGATACATTCCCTTTCCATCAAGACTCATTTGTCATTTGTAAATTAGTTTGGGGACTGGTGAAAGTGTTCTGCCACTTGTACATTTGTCTCAGCGCTTGCAAAAGTGTTTCACATCTTTGTTTTATAAAATGTAGATGTGTTTTGTCCTTGGTGAAAGCTTTGTTTTGTAATTTAGTTTTATAAAATGTAAAAAATGTTTTTCAAAATGTACATTTGTCTCAAATTAATTAAAAGTGTTTCCCACTTTGCAATTTTGCTTTTGCACTTCCCAGCCACCATCTTATCTAAATAGTATTTATCTGCTCTCACTTTGTCTTATCTATATTAACACATTGAACATTGATCAACGTTATGGATAGTATGGGGTGAAACAGCGGGCATGCGTTAACAGTTCGACCTCTTCACTCAAAGGAGATGATGCAGTTGAACTGCACGCTCCCTCATTTAACCTGTTTAAGTTCAACAAGGTCTCTTGATGTTTATTTGCATGTATTAAACGGATCAGCTTTGGTGGAGGGATTTGCATTGTCTTTACATGCTCTTATCTTAAATAGTATTTATCTGCTCTCACTTTGTCTTATCTATATTAACACATTGAACATTGATCAACGTTATGGATAGTATGGGGTGAAACAGCGGGCATGCGTTAACAGTTCGACCTCTTCACTCAAAGGAGATGATGCAGTTGAACTGCACGCTCCCTCATTTAACCTGTTTATCTTTTATACATGAACTATCTAATCTAACAGTTATATAAATGATATGTGTATATTGAAATGATAGTTATTCATTCATCTTATATTTCACTTAAAGTACTTTCAGTCTACGTTAGAGGGAGTTCTTTTATTTCTTAGCATTGAGGTAATGGTAATAATATCGATATAGACAGTTTAGGGGCGCTGGATATCCTGGAAGTTATGTCACACAACCCATGTACAGAGACAATAGTTTTCATGCAGTGCCGTGGGTTTGATTCCTGCCTCTTCCCTTTGCTGCATGTCATCCCCCGCTCTCTCCTCCCAACATTTCCTGTCTCTCTTCAGCTGTCCAATCCAGTAAAGGCCTTTGATTCTTCAAATAACTTACAGCAGATTGTTTCCAACTTGGGTGGAACCTAGAGTAGCAACCAAACCTAACTGTTACAAGAAAAACACGCACAGTCTACAGCCCAGGTACTGTGGCATCCTCATCCTATCACTCCCGCAGGTGTCATGACACGCTCCTTTGATTTGCTGATCATTTGGGCTAAATTCAATCAGCCCCACAGGTCGCTGATTTTTTGACCAATGACACAACCGTAGCGTTAGAGACTGTAGAGAGGATAAGAAACTAATTTAACTAATCACTTAAGTTAATAAAGAATCTATTTTACTGAACATTGTGAATTTAAATAGATTGTTTCTTTAGTTACAAAAGCTGTGTTTGCAATGCTAACTTTGATAGCCTGTTAATAGCAGTTTATTTTGTGTTATGTTCTATAATTTAATTTAGCATCCAGCTAACAAACCAAGATGTACATCCTGGTCCATAAGTGAAAAATTGCATCAGCCACCACCGAGTAGAGGCAACTTTTCACATAAAAAGGCCATCTAACACTAACAAGAAGGTACTTTGATTGTTAGTTTTGTTAACCCCTTATTTATTCAGGTCAGAGATCTCAAGCTAATAAGTCGCTCAAATTGAGATTTTGGTTCTAGAACAAGCTGTACCTGCACTTCATGCAGATTTCTGTCTATAGGGATAAATAAATCCCTATAGATGTCAGATGACCACAGAAGAGAGCCAGGATGTAACTACCACAGATTTCATTACACTGTTTTTGCTACAAACACTCCTGTGGATACGTGATTTGTCAAAACAACCCTGCCTCTAAATGGACTACAAACACAAATCGGAGCGCCTGCATGTACTGATTGTACATTCTGTATGTAGAATCTGTTGGTATAGATTAACGAGGGTCCAACTTGATGGTTTAGAAGCTCTGATAAAATGAGGTTAGTCGTTTTACCCTTCTGATACACCAGTCAGCATAACTCAACTTGGAAGTTCCCAGAAAAACAACTCTTGCCCTGCAGCAATGTCAACACTGATGATACATTGATCACAAAAACAAAGGCAGAACCAAACCATTTACATAGCTTCATGGGTCATCAGTGTATGGAGTTTATGCTAGAAATCAAATCTTTTTGTGATTGACTGATTTGTTTCCACTGGCTTGAGAATAAAGAATTATAAATGTTAAAAATAGGAATCACCTTCTCTCCCTCCGGGCAGAGAAAGAACTACTGTGTCGTTACAAATCGATTTATGTAAAACTGTTTTCATTGATCAGCAGATATCAATTTGTTGATTTTGGTCAATTCAGGAAGGATGATGGAACTTTTGTTTCCAAGTTGTCCTCTGCATTGCAGCGAGCTTACAATATAAAATTTGTTTACAAATGCTGAGTAGTTTGCTCTTTTTTATTTGATTCATTTAGGACATCACAACCCAAATATTTCAACTTTGGGATGGACGAGGAACAAAGCGCAGCTTGTATCTGCTGATCAGTGTAGCAGAATGGACCCTGATAAATAACTCTGTAAAAAGCTGAAATCAAAACAGCAATGGGCTTGTTTCCATGTCACCCATGTAGCACAACATGATATCTTCTCATCGCTAAAAACAAAACTTTAATGAGTTTTAGGGGACTTTTCATTCTTGTTTTGACATTTGATGTTTGTATTTAACTGTGTTGTTTGGCCGATGAATAAAATAAACTTTGTGAACAATAACCAATGCCTTTTTACCAAAAACAAAGCCCCAATGGCTGGGATTTATGTCAACAGTTTTAACCATTTACAAACATTGATAATGTTGGGATATCAGCCAATATCATTTAGGTTAATTCAAAAAAGAAAAAAAAAAAAGTATTTAACAGTAGTATCATTGTTTTTAGAGTCACTTGACACATACATTGCTTCATGTCCATTTGCTTATCTAAGTAAGAGATTTTGTGTTTTTTTGCTCACACAAGACAAGCCCAGTACATCAGATCCCAGAAATAGAAGTTCTTTGGCGGATGGGGCGCTCTGGGCAATGTGCTTAGCAAATACCCACGGACACTGAAATCAATGGAAAATTCAATTGATCAGGCTACAAAGTAAACATATATTAATAGTTCTAGTCCATATAGGGTGTAACTGATTAGACTGACATTATCTTTATGTAACAGTGCTTGCTAAAGACCTCTGCCAAAATGACGTTTCCATTACTGCCCTATATGTCTAAACTTCCCCACATGGTGGAGAAAGTGATTAATAAGAATTGGTTTTAAGTTTTAACAAATTGTATATCAGTAGATATTGTTAAGTGTTTCTGGTGTGTCTCAGATTTACTGGAATAGTTAGTCATTCTTAGGCTTCACTCTGAGGCAGCCTCCAACACAGCCCAAATACAATAGTTGCCCAACAAAGTCCTGCCTCTGACAAGGAAATAACCAGTCATAGTTAAACACCACTGCTAAATTACATGCTAATGCATCACTTCAAGACATAAACCAGCATGCTAAGAACTAACAGAAATCATGTTTGGATTTTTTTTTTGTCCCTGTTTTCATACAGTTTGGTGTATAGGCCCACTCTAACCCTAATACTAAATGTAGGGGTTTCATCTGTTTTTGAATGATAAAATTAACATAAAAACACAATATCAAGTAAAACACTTTCCTACATTTTTATGGATTGTTATCCCACCACTGAGAATCCCTACTATGATTATATTGTCCACATCGTTGTACAGCAACACATTCAGCACTATCCTTTACAAATCCAGCT